GTAACGCTTTTACATATTAGTTTAATAGTTCTCCCATTGACTGGGGGTTTATAAATGAACTACATGAATTATACCTCATTTATATACTGCTTTCAATTTTGTTGTAATTTTTAGTATTTTAATTTGATAGTCAGATTTCCTCTCTTTGTGAAGTTATACTTCTATACGCACGGTCGGCGTTGGAAATTTGCATGGGAGTGAATCTGTGAAACCATTACATATGTAAGATAATGAGTAAGAGAGAGACAGAAGATATATTTTCTCTCTCGAGAATAAAAATGTTCTCTTTGTATATATATTTAATATTGTATATAGTATTGTATATATATATATATATATATATATATATATATATATATATATATATATATTTATATATATATATATATATATATATATATATATATATATATATATATATATATATATATATTTATATATCAAACTAACCACCTTATTATTACAAACAGTTGTAAGTGTGAGATCTAGATTACGCAATCTAGTGAAATTAAAATATTCTATATATCATAATTCATAAGCTGATTTTCTATAGTAGTGTCAATTGGACCTTTGGTCAAAAACGACCTCACTTCGGCTATATTGTTAAAATTGTTTTGTTACATTTGACAGATCGTATATGTTTGTTTATATTTGTTGTTTTTCGAATATTTTTAATTTTATAATACTTTTATAAAAACTGTAATAATATATTGTGATAGTGCATAATAATGGTTTCTTGTTCTCAACGTACCTAGCAGGTAGTAGTAGTAGCAGAAGTAATGTTAATAAAAATTCTTCAGGAATATCGTTCCAAAGGTTAGTATACAAATATGTAAACAATGGCCCGTACTTCAGAGAATAAATTAATAGTATTAGACTGTATTAATTTATCTTTATGTATAAATATATCGTGTTTTTAGTGTTTACCGCGGGATAACTGCGCTGCACAAAATAAGAACAAGATGCTTTTATATAATTGCTGAAGGTCTTATTGATGAAGTTGAGCAAAAGTACCTTGTTCCGAGTCACTCTTTTGAGTTGTGATAGTGACTTCGCACAGATATAATAAAGTAAACGGAAGTCGCATTGTGAAATGCCACTAGATTTGCTGAGACGTATTGTATGAGCAAAGCTAGAATACCCTTATTTGACATCCATAATGGAAAATAAAGATTTTTTTATTTTAAATCAGCAGCTGAAAACACGATTATGACCAATAATATGCAAATTTTTAGAGTGCAATTTACATATTAAAATTAAAAATCTAAAGCCGAATAGGTTATGACCAAAACAACTCTGAGTGATATAGAGGATGGAAAGGAAATTACAGTTTTCGATAAAAACCTTACAATCGCAAACTTGACATCCTATTTGACTTCACTCGAATGTAAAAGCAGATTAATTGCGGACAAAAAAAGGGATTTTAGGGGTGTTTTAAACTACTTAAAAGATGAATATAAAAAAATTTACAAGAATTTGGTAGAATAAAACATTTTAATGTTTTAAGATACTTTTGTGAATAATTATTAATTTTAATTAATGGAATTATTAAGTATTTTATGATAGTTTAATGTAATATCTCCATGAAATGTAATGTTCTAACATAATTTAACTGTTTTCACATAGTATGCATATGTTATTAATTAAATTTTTACATGTACACATGACCCATTTTATAAGAATATTGTTCTGTACATGGCTCCACATATTCCACATGGCTGTACAGAATATTCCACAGGATAATGCAAATTTTGAGAAAAAACACAATTTGATTCCTACACACGGTATACAATGAAAATTTACCTGTTTAGCAACAATATTATTATAAAGATATTGTCAAGGAATAAGGCTATAACGTATTTAAAAAAATCACTTAAATCGGGCAACAGATTTAGGAGATATAATCAATCAAACCAGTTTTAGGAATTCAACCGAGTGAATTGCTAAAACTGGTCAATGAAAAAACATACATCTTTTAGTCCAACTACTGAACACAATCTATTCCACAGAAAACATTCCACGTAAATGCTGACATCAACATTTATTTGTCTACCAAAGAAAGTAAATGCCAAAGAATGTAGTAATTATCGAACGATCAGTCTAATGTCACATACCATAAAACTTCTGCTAAAAATCATCCATAATAGAATACACACTAAGCTGGAGATGGACATTAGTGATTCCCAGTTTAGATTTCGGAATGGAGTGGGCACAAGAGAGGGACTATTTTCTTTTAACGTGCTGACCTAAAGATGTTTTGATGTTAGGGTAAGCGCCCACCAAAGTGGAGTGGCACGTGGCAAGTAGCAAGTAGCACACTTCTAACATGTTACATAAAATGTAACCAATGCAAACGAATGATTAAATCGAATGACGTCACTGTCATTTTGGTGTGCGCAGAATTATTCGTTTTCATTGGTTACATTTTAAGTAACATGCTATACGCGTGCTACTTGCTACTTGCCACGTGCCACACCAGTTTGGTGGGCGCTCTCACTTAATCGAGCTCTTTATGTATGCTGTATGTAGACTACAACAAGGCATTCGATAAGGTAAAACCTGATCGATTTATAGAAGTAAATTTATACTACAGCCAAAGATCAAATGTGAAAATTGATCAGAAGAGAGAAGTGTCAGAAGAAGTGGAGATAAGGAGAGGGCCAGGCAAGGTTGCATACTGTCGCCGTTATTGTTTAATGCTTATTCTAAAAAAATCATACAAGAAGCTTTGGTAAACGAGACAGTCGGCATAAAAGTAAATTGAAGTTTAATTAACAACATTAGGCATGCCGACGATACAGTCATCATAGCCGACAACCTGGACTTGCAAAAAATATTGAACAAATTATTAAGATATAGTGGAGAATACGGACTCTCTCGTAACATCAAAAAAGAACCAAGTTCATGAAAATTAGCAACAACAACAATACAAATGAAATACTAACAGAAACAAACAATAATCACAGAAAATAACGCTTATACTGCAGACATAAGAGTCAGAATTGAAAAATCAAGTGCCAACTTCGTAAAAATGAAAAAGATTTTATGCAGCAAAGATCTGACATTGGCCCTCAGAATAAAGCTAATTAAATGCTATGTACACAGTCTAGTCTACTATGGAGCTAAATCATGGACATTAAACCGGAATACAATAAATCGACTTAAAGCGTTTGAAATATGGACATTTAGAAGATTGTTGAGGATTCCATGGGTGGATAGAGTCACGAATACAGAAGTGTTAAGGAGAATAGGCAGAGAGAGGGCAATATCTCAGACATGTAATGAGTGGCATATATATATTATATATATATATATATTATATATATATATATATATATATATATATATATATATATATATATATATATAACACTGTTTTTGATGGGTTGTAAGTTTCTTACAATTCTCATTGTAAGAAATACAGACAATATGTTGAAAACTAGATGGTTCAGAAAACCCATATGTAGTAATAGATTTATAAGCTATTACTCTAATCATCCAAATAAAATGAAAATGAACCTTATAACAGGATTAAAGGAACGTGTTTTAAAACTTTCTTATCCAGACTACCTACAAGAAGATCTTCATTTGTTAAAAAATATTTTAATTGAAAACTCTTATCCTCCTGATATGCTACATAGGATGCTTTTTTCTAATTTATTAAATATAAATAACTTAACACCATTTTTTGCTAAATCTCAAAATACTGTATCCAACAATCAAAACATATATTATCATTCACTACCTTTTATACCATCATGAACTCCTAAATTAATACAAACATTAAAGGTTATTGACAATATAAAAATAGCAACAAAGAACATCAAAACTATTTCATCTGTATATTCCAAAACTAAATATCCTATAGACAAATTAGATCAAACAAATGTAGTATACAGCATTGTTTGTACTCAGTGTGAAGCTGAGTATATTGGTGAGACTGGAAGAAATCTCTCAAATCGCATTATTTCTCACAAGAGTGATTGTAGAATTAAGAAACCATCTTGTGCTTTGGCAGAGCATGTAATAGACAAAGACCATATTATGGATTTTGATAATATTAAAATTTTATGTAATGAAAGTAATAAATTTAAAAGAACTTTTTTGGAAATGGTTTGTATTAGCAAAAGTGATAATAATTTAAACAAAAGGTCAGAAATTCAAAATTTAAGCAAAATTTATAATTATATAATTTCTATTTAATTTATGCAGTCAGTAAAATATCACATTTTGAATTTTCCATGTATTTGTTACATTTTTTCATGCATCTATCAATGGTGAATAAATCTTCTTCTTTTTTGTTACTAAACAAAGAAGAATTTTTTAAACAAAATTTTATTTTTGACAATATGTCAAAAATAAAAATTTTTAAGTTAGTATTTATGACATTTTAGGCTGGTTGTAGCTATTCTATTTTTGTTTATAAATTCAATTTTTTTCTTAAGAAACTTCATCTAAATTTTACAGAGAAACATTTATTAGAATAAGACATTTTTTTATTAATATTTTTTTGTATTTATTATGTAAGCAGTAGTTTTATATAAAAAACTAATTTTATTTGGTGAGTTAACAAAAAAAATTTTTTATTTCTAGTTCAACTTTGTAAGACATTTTGTATTTTTTAGAAGCTCTTGATAAAAATTGTAATCACAATTGAAAGCTCGAGTAAAAAATAGTCAACAAATAGCCCCTTTTATTGACTCCAACCCATCAAAAACAGTGTTATATTTTTTCCAAACGAGTCACAAGTACTTCTTTTTTTTATATATATATATATATATATATATATATATATATATATATATATTTATAAATTAAAATACATAAATCAGTCATAGGTAAGTATAATAAAAAAATATGAGATAAGGATAATAATAGTTGTATTCTAGATCTATTCCAGGAACGATTTTTGGTTGTAAATTAATGAATAGAGTGTATTTTAGAATGGCATTTTTTTCTAAACTTATTTTCGGAGACTGTGATATTACAGACAAATAACTTTCAAACATTTAATTTTTACTATATTAATCCTAAAGGAAAAAAAAAACAATAATTTAAAAAATAATAATAAATAATAATGGATACATTTTTTTTATTTTTCTCTCTATATTTTTTCGGATTTATTTTTATTGTATTCTCCTTTTAATATCATTTGTATTTCATCTAATGTTTTACCTTTTGTTTCAGGAATTACAAAGTATGTAAAAAATACTGTAGACAAACAGAACACGGTAAAGATATAAAATGGGTATTGAACTCCAAATGACTCAGTAAGTCTTTGATATACTTGTAAGGATAAAAAAGATGAAATAGTATATGACCCGTCTGCCAATGCCATACCATAAGCCTTGACCGTAGTAGGAAATATTTCTGCTGTTATTACTATGGGAACCATACCTAAACCCAATTTAAAAGTAAAAGCATATATCATGACGCAAGCAATGGGAATCCAGCTGAAATTAATTGTATTAAATCCGTCATTTTTAAGATTAAAATATATAGCTATCGTTAATAAACAAAAAGCTGTTGAAATGCCTGAACTGATAAGTAAGAACTTTCTTCCAAATTTGTCTATTAAAAAAGATCCAGTTGTTGCAGCTACCAACATGATTCCTGAAAATACTATAGCTGTTGTATGAGGATCCATATAGATGGACCCAGCTTGCGCTAAAATAATGTGCATATTCATTAGCAATACGCTTACGCTGCTAAAATGTTGTGCAAAATTAAGATAAGCCATTATAAACAATGCTTTTCTATTGCTTGGTATAACAAACAAATCTAAAAATCGTGCTCGTTCAGTTCTTTGTCGATCCACAGCTAATTTAATTTGTTTGAGCTCTTCCTCTATGCCAGATTCATTTTGTCTTAGTCTCCTTAGAGCATTTCGAGCAGATTCTGTTTGATTTTTAATTATTAAATAATAAGGACTATCCGGCACAAACGAAAACCATATAAGTTCTATAAAGACTAACACTGCTCCCAAAAAACAAGGTACGTAGATTGGAAAAAATGGGGCAATACAATAGATTAAAAGAATTCCACAAAGCATCATAAGATAAATTAAACTACTTAAAAATCCTCTTATTTTTTGATCAGCTATTTCAGCAATGTACATTGGAGTTGCTACGAAAGCCATATTTCCTGCTGCTCCAGCGAATGCTCTTGCCACAAGCATATATTCCACGCTTGGCGCCAGAGCAATTGTAATCCAAACTAAAACAGATAAAAAGCACGCTAATAAAATTGATTTTTTTCGCCCTATTTTATCTACTAAAAGCATTGTTGGCCAAAGTCCAATTGCTGCTCCAATTACATAGATATTTTCCAACCATTCGCCTTGATGTTTTGTGATAGGTACTGGAGAGTCAGGACTCATTAGTATTGGGATCACAGGTGCAGTCCAACCATAATGCATTCCATCGCTTAAAGCACATAGAGTACCTGCAAAAATTAAAATCAAATAAATAAAAATAGTAATGACAATGTCCGAATTAATTATAACTAAAATTGTTTGGGATTTCATTCAAGTTAAATCCTGTAAATTTTAAGTATATTTTATAAATTATTTAAGTAATTAAATAAAGTAACCAGTCGACCTATGTAAAAAGAAGTCGTCTTAAGTACACTAAATATTTCTCTGCAAAAAAATATTAATATAAAAAACTGTCAAATTTTAACTCATGTCCAACTTAAAAAAAAACGTTTTCGTTATTTCGTTTTTTAAAATTAGTTATATAAGATATTATTACATTAAAAAATGTAATACTGCTATGATTTACAAGAAGAATTTTAAAGATGAAGATTAAAATTTTTCTGGATAACTTTATGGTATATGCAGCAAATTGATTGTGAAATTTAGATTTAGATTCTCTTAAAAGTTCTTTTAATGTTTTTAGAATGTGGTGATAGAGTCTTTCAACTGAGTATATTGTACATTTAATCAAAATGTGCTTCACTGTCACTTTACATTCACAAACAAAACAAACTGGTTCCTCGTCTCTATTTAATAAGTATTCATGTGTTATAGAAGTGTGTCCTAATATTAGACGTGTTATTAGGACTTGATGTCGTTTTGAAGGCCAGAAGTTCCATGGAAAGATGAAAGATTTTATTTCTATCAATTTAGTGGTGCTTCTTTTTCATTAGTTTTGCCAAAAATCTTGGGTTTTTGCTTTTAAGTAAGGTTTTAAATCTAAATGAACAGGTTAAATTGTCTACTAATGCGGCTGTACTGGCTACTGCGGACCTAGCTAGACTATCTGTCTTTTCATTACCATCTATTCCAACGTGTGACGGTCCCTAGAGGAACTCTACTGTCAAAGTGTTTGGATATATGCAGTATAAAATTAACTTAATCTGCTGTAATATAAGACGAGAGGGATAAATCTGAGAAATTAATGTCAGACAACTAAGTGAATCAGAATGTTTGTATTTCTTGCTAGAATTACCAGATCATCAGCGTACAAACAAGTTTTAATTGTGCCATTTCAGTACAATACAACATTGTTAATAGCAATTAAAAATAGCGCTACGTTACTTACTTAAGAATTCTATTGAATAGCTTTCATTACTAGAAGCGGTACAACATTGATTTGCCATTATTTTAGATATATTTAGACGTAAATACCTTATTGTTTTTTGATAGCTACACACTTTATAGAGTGATGTGAATTTTTTCTAGATATACTTCTAATTATGTTCCAGATTTGACCAATTGGAGTAGTTCTATTGATTTCTGAAACAAACTTTTGTCATGACTCTTGCTTGCTTTTTTTAATATTAAATCTACATAGCTCTTATTCCTTTAAACTGCAAATGATTTTCAGTAGAATCATGAATGTGTTGCTTGTGTGAGTCCATATCAAATAGGTAAAGAAATAATAATAAGACTTACTCACAATCAATTTAATTTAACAATCTGACGACCGGTTTCGCTTTCTATAATTTGCAAAGCATCTTCAGGTCGAGATACAAAGTTAAACTAATGCTGCAATAAAATAAACCCAATTAGGGTGGTGTCTCATAAAGATAAAATAAACAAATAAATAAATTAGTTCATACAAATTATAGTAATTATGCCAATATTACATGTCTGTGGTTTTCAAAATGAATAATTTGAATATATAAAAGGTAGTAACAGACAAGGTAAGGCCCACAATTGGTATAAAGTAGCAATCTTTTGTTGTAATAAATTAATAAATGAGCAAATAAATAAAACAAAACAAAACAAACATTACTTACATGCCGGTACTCTATTAATTAATGGATGGTAGGTCATGGTTGCAAAAATCATGTATTGTTGATTGGAGAACTTTAATGAGCTATTGCAGTTGTTTTGACAATAAACGGGAAGTTCTTGAGGAGAACAGATTTGATCCAATGAATTAGAGATAGGTATATTGTTGTTGTTTGTCAGATGAAAGTGATGTTCTTTACTATTGTATTAATTAAATTATTTACACTTATAACAGAGATATATTTTTTGGAATGTGTGTTATTTATTGAGTGTTTATGTAATGAAGGAGAAAATAAATAACACACATTCCAAAAAATATATCTCTGTTATAGGTGTAAATAATTTAATTAATACAATAGTAAAGAACATCACTTTCATCTGACAAACAACAACAATATACCTATCTCTAATTCATTGGATCAAATCTGTTCTCCTCAAGAACTTCCCGTTTATTGTCAAAACAACTGCAATAGCTCATTAAAGTTCTCCAATCAACAATACATGATTTTTGCAACCATGACCTACCATCCATTAATTAATAGAGTACCGGCATGTAAGTAATGTTTGTTTTGTTTTGTTTTATTTATTTGCTCATTTATTAATTTATTACAACAAAAGATTGCTACTTTATACCAATTGTGGGCCTTACCTTGTCTGTTACTACCTTTTATATATTCAAATTATTCATTTTGAAAACCACAGACATGTAATATTGGCATAATTACTATAATTTGTATGAACTAATTTATTTATTTGTTTATTTTATCTTTATGAGACACCACCCTAATTGGGTTTATTTTATTGCAGCATTAGTTTAACTTTGTATCTCGACCTGAAGATGCTTTGCAAATTATAGAAAGCGAAACCGGTCGTCAGATTGTTAAATTAAATTGATTGTGAGTAAGTCTTATTATTATTTCTTTACCTATTTGATTTTCAGTAGTTTTATATCATTTATATATATTAAAAGCCAATTTAGATTATTTTATTGCCTGTTTATATGCATCGTTCCACCACGGTACAGGTGAATGTTTTATATAAAACGCTGGTTTTCCAATAGATTTGTTCACTGTATCTATGATGACTTTATTCAAAAAGGATGTTATCTCGTTAATACCTTCTTCTACATTTTCACTACTCCTACCATTTCTCCAAGATCCGTAGCTAATGAAGAAATCAATGTTGACACCAGTGCCCAGATGTCATTATTTAAGGACTATTTGGTGATGTGTGTATTGTGCTTATGGTACAACAGATTGTTAACTAAGATGGGAATGTGATCACTTTCATATAGATCAGGTAAACTATGTTTCAAGTTTGGTTCACAAATTGACAAATCAAATGCTGAAATCACTCCTGTTGCTGCAACATATCGAGTACTTCTGTTGTCATTAAATAGGTTTAAATTGAGATTATTTAGATTAGTTTCTCTTTTTATTCTCATTTTTGTCATTTTTTTGAGCCCTATAATGAATTATGTGCATTAAAATCCCCCAGTTTAATTCGAGGTGTAGGAAAGTTTATTAATAATAAAATCTTTTATTTCATACTGTTAGCAATAGTATCGTGTGCATGTTGTTTGAGAACTTGGGACTAATGTTAAGGGTGATATTTGGGAGGCAAATAATATTGGTATAGTTAATGATGGAAGAGTATGAACTTCTGTATTTTTAGTAGTAGTTGGCACTGTTCTTGTTAAGTTTTGATTTGGATTTGTACAGGTTGGAAATTTTGCTATAAAAAGGTCAGATTGTTTACAATAGTAACACATCTGTTTTTTTAAAGATAAGAAAATACGATAAGATATTTGATCGTTGTTTATGAAAATTGAGGGAAGGATTAATGTAGCTTTTAAATCTGGGTTTTTTGTACCTATTTATAAAAAAATTAATTGAAGTTAATAATTTAAGGCCTAAGTTTTTGTAGAAATACCGCATAATTAAATCAGTGAGAAACAATGAATTACTTCTCGGAAGTAATCCCTAGGTGTAAACTGGTTCAATTTAGAGAAAATTAGGAATGCATATAAACTAACGTTCACGATTATGAATACACACAAGCGACGGTTTATAGATTCACGGTATAAGTCCTAGTAGTTGGAAGAGTAAAAACATAACTCACCCGGTTAGTGTTCTTCCTAATGTAGTTGTTCTATCTTCTTTATCTGGCCAGATAATTCTTGGTGGTTACACTTCCTACGCACATGAGAAAGAGAAAGTTCAATAGTAAAAAAATATTTCGCACTCACTTTTTTTATTCAACGAAAGAGCCCATGGGAAGCTCGAGAATTTTAAAATTAAATGTATCACGACCACGAGGTCAGCGTGAAAGCAAGAGAAAAATGGTTCCTGTGACTTTGATGTGTTGATGTGTACCTTTTTATTCGAAGATCGGTAATGAAGTGAAGTTGTTGCCGCTCTTGCGCCGGAAATCTGTGTAAGATTTCAAAACGCAGTTTGGTATACGGGGGTGCGTCAGAAATTATTTTTTTTGACGCCGGTTAAAATATGTATTTTAACATATTGCCGGGGGCGGAAAGGGCGAGTACGCACCTGGCTATGTAGTGATATTAATAACACTAAAAAAGGTGAAATACAAAAAAGGAAGAATATTCTGAGATACTCTCGTAACATACTCTCAAAAGTGAAGTGAGAATTCCCAATCAACCTATATAAATGGTACTTAGCACTCTTGATACCAACTTCATGTAGTCCGAATTGAGAAGGATTACGAGGAACACCAAATTTAAACTTAATAAAATTCTGGGTACAGAAGTCTTGAATTTGACGAGTGTTATCCTGATTCAAAAAAAACTCATGAAGTTGTTTTAGTTGATTACGGCCACCGTAGAAGTTAGTCGCATTGTCTGACCAAATTATACTGGGTGTTGATCTTCTGGCGATAAACCTCTTGAGAGTAAGAAGAAATGCATCAGCAGAGAGTCCTGTGACCAGTTCTAAATGTACACATTTGGTAGTCATACAGATAAAAAAGGCGATATAGACTTTATAGAGTTTAGCATTTTTTAAAGGTGAGGCTTTGACAAGAAAATATCCACCATAGTCAATGGAGACTCTTTCAAAAGGTGGGCTAGATAAGACACGATCTGGATGAACATCTGCCATTTGTTGGACAGGATTAGGAGTCATGAATCTAAAGCAATTGATGCAATTATGAATGACTTTCTTGGTTTGTCGAAGACCAT